AGTGTACGCAGTCAGACTCTCACCATGAGAACTGACCGCAGCTAGCGTAAGGACTCTCCCAAAAACCCCCAAAAAAACAAAAAACACCAGTGGAATGGTCAAACCTAAAATCAAAGAATATAAATCTGTGCAAATAATGTTTGCTATTGGGATTGGAAATATACGAGTCAATTTGCACACGTCTTCTCTTAAAAGACTAGACCCGTAACTTGTGTCTTCCCTATACTGAATAAAGCTAGACAAGGGTGCCTTATAGTGTGTCTTCTACTATAATCTCTGTTTGTTTAGAATGTATTAACGATTTAGCAATATAATGAAATTATTGGGGTTTTTATACCCCACATATCTCGAAACTCTGAACAAAATGTATAAATCACTGTAAACCGATAATTTGTGCTCAACAAGATCCTTCCATAAAAGAGGTCATGAGTAGTTTACAATATTATTAGCAGTTATTTATAGAAAATGAACATATTCTATGGCACAATGCTAGGATGGTCAAACAAACACATTGTTGCAACAAGGCAAGTTTGACATTCAGGAACAAAAGAGGGTAGAAAAGCCCTGACATTAAAGTCTTGGGAGTGGCATATAATTGCAGAAAATGTAAAGGTACGATGCATTCCAATATTATTTTTAATTTTTTTTTAAAAGCTGGTTTTAAAATGAGTTTAAAATAAAAATAGTAAATTGAAGAGAAGAGGAACAACAAAAAGGACATGCATATTTAAGAGAAAGTATAGATTTATAATGGGTATGTTCATTTAATCCGTTGAAATTACCGTATCCCGGCCACATTGGCTATTCGCAGATTTTCTAAGCCCAAATGTGGTCAGGAACATGAATCCTTAAAATCACTAATATCCATCTCCAAACCAATATAAAGCAGAGTAAATGGAGATCCATCAATGGCCGCATGGCGGCCGAAGAAAACCCGAATGCATTTGGTAAGAAGCACATTCGCAAATTATCATTCACTTGGTTTTTGCAAATTAATGACAATTTAAATGCCCACTAGCAGCCAGTGGGCAAATAGTTTTAAAAAATGCATAGCAGCGCAAGAGTTAATTATGTGGCGGTTGCAGCTACCAAATAAAAAAAGTAAATCAACAAACAAATAGAAAAATAAAAATCCTCTAGGGATCAAAAAGACCCACTGACTATGCGATGGCCCACATTGCATTGTAGATGAAGAAACAGGTTAGTTTAATTAGATACCAGCACAACATGTGCTGATGATTTTCCAATATAGCTAGCCCCTCGATCTTGCTTCTTTCCTCCCAAATAAAATAACGAACTACCTCTCTTCTGCCCCTATCTGTAAGAATGCCTGTATCATGAAACTCAAGCCTTTCTAAAATGGGTTCTTCTTGATCAACCTTCAACTTGCAACAGGACTCTATAAGCGTTAGTAATACACATTAGTATGTCTGATTCTCATAGCTGTCTCTAACCATGGCCGCGAGAACTGACAAAACTTGAAGGAAAGAATCCCGTTTTGTCAGGTTTTGGCCATTTGACCCTTTTGCTATGAGACAAAGCAGTCACTTCTTTTGTTTTATGATATTTTTTGACTGTGTTACAATACCAGTGAAATTCCAATGTATTTAATATGACCGTGTCATGCAGAAGTTATCTTTATGAAATCCTCACAAAACATTTTTTGTTTGTTTTTGTCACTTTAATCCTGACACTGTCATTTTAACTCCACTCTAGTTGAGAATGTTTTTAGCTTGTTCACTGTTAGAAGTTGAGTATACATGTCCTACAACATTCTTATCCAGCCCAGATCACACCTTTACTGTTATTTATCTACCTAGATCAGGACAAAGGTGTTCTGCGTAAACGTATATCTGTTTAATCACACCACCTACTGTTTATTCCCATGTGCTCTAGGACTAAGTTCTTGATACTGAAAAATACAAATAGTGCAAAATGTTTGCTAAGTGACTCCTTTATAATGCCTTACGTTTCGCAATTGTGTTTTATTTGCCTGTATACCACTCATTGCACTTCAAAAATAAAGATTATAAATAATTCTGAGATGTTTTTTCTGCAACTCCTATTGTTGACGGCTATGTTTTTTTTCATTTTTTTTTTTTTACTGTAGATATTTTTATGCAGTACAGACCTTTTTTTTTAGTGGTATAGTAGAATATATAAGTAGTATTTATATATTTTTATTACCATATTCTGATAGGAGCCTAAGGAACACAGAGATAAGTGGTGTTGGGACTATTGAAATAACTCAATAGTAAATGAGTTAAAGTTATGTTCTTTTTTTTTTTTTTTTTTTGCAATTCAGTTGTCAAAAGATCATGTCCCTAATAGCTTAACTTGCAACCACGAACAAAAAATAAATGACCATTAATAAATATAGTTATACTTGTAACCCCAAATCCATTGAAGTGGTCTGGGTGCAGTGTCCCTGTCCCACATAGATCTGCAATGTAAATCATTGCAGTTTTTGAGAAACTGGAATAATTACATTGCAGGACTAAGACTGCCTCTAGCGGCTATCAATCAAACAGCAACTAGAGGCGCTTCCTGGTTGCTAACGGACTTTTGGTCCCATAAATGATGCTGGATGTCCTCACGCTCTGCTTGAGGGCATCCAGCGTCAGTGAAATCCTCATAGGAAAGCATTGATGCAATGCTTTCTTATTGGGAGGGCCTAAAGCTCTTGTGGAGTTCGCTGCACATGCGCATTAGCCCTCCCTACCCCCAGATGATCAGATGAGATCAGATGAGGAGGCTGGAACCAAGTGCTGGAATCAGACAAGTGACTAAAGCATTTTTTAACCCTTTAGCAGCTGAGCAGAGGGGGTTAAACCATGTTTAATTTTGGTGTCATCTTGGCAACATATATTATTTTGAGTGTTTCAATGTTGCAGTATTGTTCTACATTTTCCTAGATATATGTATGGGTGTATTAGACTTGTGGTGAAATATTTTGGTTCAACCAAATTGATTTGTCTTTGCTTGTGCACTAGTTTTCTTGTGCTTCTATGGGATTCGCTGACATTTTCAATCTTGATGATCTCAGCCAGGGAGGTGGAGCTGCAACAGAAAGACCAGCACACCAGTGGAGGTAAGGTAGGTTACACTGCTTTTTTTATTGCAGTGGGGGCACCTACATAGGTAGAGGTACCCAAGGACAATGTCAGTAGATTTTGTCTATACTATTTAAAGAATATATAACTATGCTTATTTGTGGTACCTTGGCAATGAGTACCACCACATGCTAATATAAGGGTTCCCTTTGGGGGAGAGGGTATCTTGTTCTTACCATTAATAAATTACAGTGTTACGTTATGATATCCTTTCTTGTATCTTTTTAAGGCACAACAAATCCTGTGTTATACACAAAAGGGACTATTACCCAAAGACTTTTGGACTCTCTAGCAGTTTTAACGGTCATTTGAAATTACCCACACTGTGGCTTATATGGTTTTATTTATTAATCATTAGAATGAATGTATAAGGGTTTGTATTTCATATTAATATTGATCACCTATTCTAAGGTTTTCAAAATATAGCACTTACACTTCATTTTAAAAGTACAACTTGAAGAAAGATGATATAGGCACTCCAATGCTGTAAAGGCAGTTTATTGGTACAGAGTAAATACTTCTATGTTTCAATAAACTACGTCTTCCAATAAACTTCCTTTACAGCATTGCAGTGCGTAGATTATCTTTCTTCAACTGGTATCTTATTTGCTGGGCTGGTGCTGGCCCTGGGCACGGCAAAGCACCCACTTAACTCGTGGTTTGAGTGCCGTTCCTTTTCTGTTTTTGCAGTTGATTTATTCTACTGACATTCTATTGTTTCTTTGTACTTTATATGATTGCTATATCATTTATTCATGCTATTTGTTGTCGGTGTGTCTTTTGTTTTTATATAAATTTGCAATAAACTGCTATTTTGTTTCTATAATAGGGTGTGTTAATATGTTACTAATGTACGAATTTAAAGGCTTTAGATGATTCTATTGAGGCTTGCATCCTGATTGCTGGGTTTATGGTTTTATGGCTTGAAAGCCACCCAATCTCAGTACATCGTAAAAGTGTTCAGGAATGCCTTCAAATATAAATGATTTGTTATTGTTTTCTTTTTTTTGTCTCCTTATTGATTTCACCCTATCCATAAGTCAGATGTCCATTATTCCCTATAGGGTGCTGTTTAATAAACAGCTTCCCTAATTTGGTACCCTTATGTGGAGTGCCTGTTTAAGGATACTAAATTAAGGAACTGTTTAGTTGATAGCCCCCTAATTTGACACCGTCCTATGGGATTGTCTATCTAAGGATACCAAATTAGAGGGCTACTTAGTCGATAGCTCCACCATGATGTGGGGTTCCCCCTACTTAGGATATAAAATTAGAGCTTTGTTGAGTAGAGAGCTGCCCTAATTTGTGGTTGTCCTATTTAGAATGCCAAATTAGGACACTGTTTAGTAGTTAGTTCATTTATATCCTTATGAAAACAAATGATCCAAGCATTTTTTGGTTCCATTAATTCCAATATCTCTCACGTTCAGTAATTCCAGAATGAACATGTCTTCCAATGGACTCTAGTCATGTGAATGTAAATGGGACCACCTAGCCAACAAAATGTTTTTACACTCCACATCAGACACCGCAGCACAGAGGAAGAGATAGGCGTAATGGCCACCCCATACCAATTTAACAATTACCCCATGCTAACACACAAACATATGTTGGGTGTAAGGGTGGGCTATTCGCATAGACTCACCTCTTAAAGTGATCTATGGAGACTTTATTTACACTCTTTGGATGAAGGGCCATCCATTGGACTGTCCCAAGTCATTTGGGGAGCCTACTGTGAAATTTATGAATATTAGCAGTCATGATATGCAGAAAGTACTGCATCTATCTATATTGTTATCCTTATGTAGGTGGAGTTGATTAGCAGGTTTTTCTGTTCTACCCGTGCCCTTTAGTACACAGCTTACTGCAGCTGTGAATTCAGTTACAATGGGTTGGACTCAGATGATGTATGGAACCCTGTTCTGCCTCTTGATAGGCATAGCTGGGGTAAGTCATTTGATACAGGGGGCACGTGTATATTTGTGTATTATGGCAGTTCACTTTGGTTTTTAATTAATTTCACAAATGTTTAGCATCATGTATTTCATTTATCATTACAAGAGCTATATTTATAAAAGTATCTATTAAATTTTTTTAAGTTTATCTTAATATTCATATATTTGTTTTGCTTAACATATTAATATTTTCTTATTGTAGTATAAATTATTGACATGATAAAAATAGTAAGAATTTTTTTCTCATATTGTGGACAGTATGCATCGTATAATTTAATTCAAAATGACCAAAAATCTAATCTTAGGAACCTTAAAATGCAAATGACATTATAATAATTAATGATGCTTGCCTGGACATCTGATTGTTACTTACTCCAAATACTTTTATTCTTTTACTAACCATAACAACAGCATCACAAAAAAAACTAACACCTTGTTAAACTATTGAACTTCTCATGATATGTATCAATAATTGAAGGGAGACTGCTATCAACAAGATATGAATTTTATTTTGTAATATAAGTTGTCATAAAAATATTCCTTTATTTGTTTTTACCCTATTTTAAGAAAAAAAAAGTTAAATAATTTACAAACTGTACATATTATACAGAAGAGAATATATAACATTATATTATAAATCTGCCTCTAGTTTTATTTAATGACCTTAATATGGAAAGAGTAACTTTAGGCTTTGAAGAAATACATTTGGTTCTTTATGAGAATTAATATAGTACGGCTATCCAGCAATCGATAACTCGTCTCGGGGGATCATTTTAATATCCTCAGTAACGGGAGTGCGTGACACAGACATTAAGTTATGCTTAAACGGTATAGGATAAACAAAACAAATAAGCATTCATATAAACAGCATATTTCAGTTAAATGTTCAAAAGTTAAATATGTAATAAAAAGCGTACAAAAAAACTAAAATAAAATCTCATTGATTTCCAGAGTGGTTCTAAGCAATTTCCATTCTCTACCTTTCAGAAATACAGTTTCAAATATGTACAATTTACCTAAAAAAAAATGTATTTAGTTTTTAAAGATCTTTTGATACTACATAAAATGTTAAATGATAATTTATAAATTATTTTAAAATTGTTAAAAAAAACAATAAGAATAAAATAAAATTTCCCCATATTTGCATAAACCTATTGAGAATAATGTAGCTAAACACACCTCAAAATAAATATTGTGTTTGTTACAGTTTTGTAAATATTCCATGCATAGTGACTTTTTATATATTTTACTAATTATAGGGTACAATGATTAACTCTTTAAACCTTTGAGCTTTCAAACTTTGATAGGCTAGAGATAAAAGTGCAATAAAAGTCACGTCACTGGGCTCATAAATGCCAAATACGCATATATGTTTTTAACTCCCCTTAAAGAATGAGGCAATTGTACACGTTCTAATCAATAAACAACCAGGAATTTGTGTTATATGTTTGTTCAAACATAATTTACCTCTTTCATATAAAATGCACCCAGGCTTATTATATATCATTTGTTCAAGATAAACATTTAACATCAAATATTTATATATGAAACATAATTTAATGTAAATACATTATAAAGAAGTGTGAGAAATTAAGAAATGTTGATATTTTCCAACTTCTGCATGGCATTTTAAATGTGAATGTCATAGAACTGTTAATAAAATCCACATATTTGAGTTCAGTAATGTCTCACGAGTACAGCAGTACCCCCCATGTACAGAGTTTATGGGGCTTTGTGAATTAACATGGTCAAATATAGGACTTTCTCCCATTTCAGTTTTTACACATTGAAATTTGCCAGATTGGTTATGTTGTCTATGAGACTGTATGGCAGCCCAGGACTGAAAATAACTGTAGCAGAATGAGTTTGCTATACAATACTTATTCCTCTCTGTTCAGGCTACAGATCAGGTAAGTGAGGATGAGGGGGCAGCCTACAGATCAGGTAAGTGAGGCATGGGGGGCAGCCTACAGATCAGGTAAGTGAGGCATGGAGGGACAACCTATAGATTAGGTAAGTGAGGCATTGGGGGTTAGCCTACAGATCAGGTAAGTGAGGCATGGGGGGCCAACCTACAGATTAGGTAAGTGAGGCATGGGGGGTCAGCCTATGGATCAGGTAAGTGAGGTTGAGGGGGCAGCCTACAAATCAGGTAAGTGAGGCATGGGGGGTCAGCCTACGGATCAGGTAACTGAGGATGAGGGGGCAGCCTACAAATCAGGTAAGTGAGGCATGGTGGAAACCTTTCAGATCAGGTAAGTGAGGGATGGGGGCAGGCTACAGATTAGGTAAGTGAGGCATGGGGGCAGCCTACAGATCAGGTAAGTGAGGCATGGGGGGCCAACCTACAGATTAGGTAAGTGAGGCATGGGGGCCAACCTACAGATCAGGTAAGTGAGGCATGTGGGGCGCTATGTGTGAAGAGAGGCAGGGATCAAAAGCTACATCTTATCCCTGCTTCTCTCTCCTGACTTGGGTGCTAAGATATGGGCTTTTTGGGGGATATAAGACTTGTGGGGTTCCTGTATATTTTTTATATGTTTTGGGGGTATTTTGTATATTTTTGCATTGTTTCCTGTAACTAAGAGGTGTTCGTTCTATTTTCTATGGAGACCCAATGCTGGGGTCTGTGCATAAAAGGCTGAGTATGGCATAATAAACCTCCGTTGACTCCCAAAACTATGTGTTGTCTAGTTACTTAGGGGAAGGAGTTATAATCACAGCAGCGATACTTACAGCTTAGAGGAATAATCAGCTGAGATACCTATTCAGGGTATTGGAGCTCCGCTACAATTACCTCCATCATGGCATGCCATTTGTAACAGTAGACAACACAGGGTATTCAAAATGGGTTTCTGTCCAGTCTTTTTTAGAAGACATGTAGTCACACACCCCTCATAAAGCTGATCTTCCTCCTTCCCTTTTCCTGTAAGTTGATGGTGCTTGCATCAGTCCGTCCTTGCAAGCTCGCTATCTTGGTGTTATCTTTGATCCTGGCCTCTCCTTTGCGCCTCATATCCAGAATGTTGCTAAAACCTGTCGATTCCACCTTAAAAACATTACCTGCATCCGCCCCTTCCTTATGCAAGATGCTGCCAAGGAGCTTGTTCATGCTCTGGTAATATCTTGCATCGATTACTGTAATTCTCTCTTAGTTGTTCTCCCCAGAAGCCGAACTGCCCCACTATAATCAGTAATGAATGTGGTCGCGAGGCTGATCTTACCCATCGCTCCTCCCATACCTCACCCCTCTGTCGATCCTTACATTGACTTCCTGTATTCTATAGGTGTCAATTCAAAATACTAACCCCTTACCCATAAAGCTCTAACCAACTCTAGCCCCTCTTACATTTCTTCACTGATCCATAGATATGCCCCTACTATGTCTCTCCACTCTTTCTGTGACTTTTTCCTGTCCGCTGCTCGCACCATTACTGCTGACTCGTGCTTGCAGGACTTCTCGCGGGCAGCTCCCTTACTTTGGAACAGCCTGCCTACCCCCATCAAACTCTCCCCTAGTTTTCAATTGATTAAAAAGTCCCTCAAAACGCATCTGTTCAGAAATGCTTATGGATTCCCAGAGTAACTTATCTATAATTATCCATATCCATCTCTTGCTCTACTAAAGAGCCACACTCCACTCTCACCTCCAGCTATGCTACTTTCCCACCTTGTTTGGTGGCTGTCCCCCTTGCTGCCCTGTCGTGTATTTGTATCCCACCTCCTCTAGACTGTAAGCTTGTTTCAGCAGGGCCATCATCTACCTATTGTTCCTGTGTCCCAGTGTAATTGTAACAGTGTATGATTCATCCTCACATAGAAATGTTTATGATGGTATTCACCGTCCTGACAGGAAATAGTTGTGCCCATCTGCAGCCATGCACCCAGATACCTGATAAACCCAGCATGTCTAGGGACGCTGGACGCTTTGGATCTATGCCCCTTTATAGCCCCATGGCCGCCCACGTTGATGATGACATCGGCGTGCGTGTGACATCACATACGCGCATGTTTTGGGGTCAAAGGCTGGTTACTACCAATCGTAATAACAGGAGGGTTATTTAAACTACTTTTTACATTCTCTCATTGCCCCCTCATGGTTTCTGCCTGATGGTAATCCGAGAGTGCGTTCCTGATCTTGATTTTTTGGGATTTGACTTTGTTCTGACTTCCCTGATTTCTGTATCCTTGACTTTTGGCTTTTTCTCATTGCTGTGTCTGATTTTCTATCCCCGACTTCAGCAAGTATTCTGACTATTATTGGATACTTTAAGTCCGGCCATTCTAAGGTCCGGTTAAACGTTATTTTTAGTCCTAGGTGTGATACAATTCTGCGTGCCTGGATCAATTAGTAATCCTGACAGTAATTGTGTCATTTATTGTAAATCCTCCCCCTTTCATAATATTGTAAAGTGCTGCGGAATTAGTTGTAGCTATATAAATACCAATAATAATAATAATAATAATGGCCAAAGTTAGAGCTTATATGTTTTATTTTTTGCATTTTTCTTCTCTATATATCTTTTTTCTTTTTTAATTGTGTATTTTGTTTTTTATTTATTTTTTAATTTTTTTACTGTATATATTTTTCTGCAGTAATGACCTTTTCATTAGTAGGATTCGTGATGTTTTCATTACCACCTTCCGATAGGTAGGTGCCAAAATTCTATTTTTAATTTTTTTTTACAATTCAATAGAGTCCAAGGGTCATGTCCCTAGTAGCTTCATTTACAACCACCAAATATAACCAAATTACCCATAATAAATACTAATAATCGACTAGGTTCACATTCACAGTATGAATTTGAGTCTTTTTTCTGGAAGAGAATATGTCCCTTAACCATCAATCATCCTGTTTTCTCATCAATCACGCCTTTAGTTTGGCAACGCTGAGAGAACTCTGAATTATGTTACAAATAAAACTGCTTGTCCATTGTCAGTGCTGGTTGTTTCATCATATTTCCATATGGCTTTTCATAATTACCGAATTCTAGTGAACAGCAAATCGCCCAAAATTCTGACAACCTGCAATTTGTTTGAAACCAAATTCACAAATCTAGTGTGTATGTATGTATATATATTTTCTTTTAATAAAATACAAATTTTAGTTTAAAAATTGTTTCATGAGATTGGAAGCTCACGGCAGGTCCCTCTTATACTGTATTTTCTTTTTCCCAATTGTACAGCGCTGCAGAATATGTTGGCACTTTATAAATGCCAGTAATAAATAAATAAATGTGCGGAAATTCTTCACACAAACTCCCATTACGCATTTTGTATTTTTACATTTGCAATTTTACATTGTGGAATATATGGCAAGTATAATAAGTAGCATCCCAAAGAGTTAACTCCCATATAGAAAATGTTTTAAAATCTTCAGATGTAGGGAAAAGGAAGTATTACATTTTGTGTGATATTTTAATAATAATTAAAGAGTCAATCTAAGCATCATAAGAACTGTATCTTATTGAAGTGGTCATGGTGCAACGGCTGTATCCTTAAAAGCTTTCCTTTTTAAAAATGTAATGTAGAACAGCCTCCCTGATCTGTCAATCAGCCATCTGGAATACTGTGTTCCTGACTGGCAATATGTGTACATAGCACACAAAGCATGCATGAGTTACACATGTTAAGCCCAATCATCCTTTTCCTACAGAGCACCGCAATTATGGAACGACCTCTCGCACACTTTCAAATCTTCCCCAGGCCTAAAATCCTTTGATAGATCCCTCTCTGTACACCTCAAAGCAGAATGCACCTGTCATGGTTGATTATATATTTCCTACCTGTTCTATGTTAAATTTTGTATATATTGTGGATTAATATTGTTTTTGTATTTTATTGTACCCCATTGTATCAATGCCATCTTTTGTGGACCCAGGACTTTCTTGAAAACGAGAGAAATCTCAATGTATCCTTCCTGGTAAAATATTTTATAAATAATAAATAATAATAAAAATTTACTGAAGTGAGAATTACTAGTGAATTTTAAATTTAAGGATATAGTAGCAAACTGACTGCAGAGCCAGTATTATATGGGCTCCAGAACCAGATGAGCAATATAGTATGGATAATCAGTTGTGAACCTTTAACAACACTCTGCACTATTATTCTGCCTTTTGTGTCTCATGTCATGTACATATCTAATTGGAGTCAGTAAAAGGGATACAAGCAAGATGGTCCCTGCTGCTACCTTAAAGGCACAGAAAGCCAGTACATTCAGAGCCATAACGTTGAAAAGGCTCTAGAATTGTGAGCATTCCCTTTTAAAATTTGATTCTATTTATATCAATTGTAAACAATATTGTACCATTGTATATTTCTTTTTATCTTTTTTCCGGTTTATATATATATATATATATATATATATGAAAACGTTTCATGCTGTTTGGGTAAGCCGTGATTTTTTAGCGCTGCACTATACACTATACAGTGTTGTTTTTGGAATGGGTAGTATCACCTAAACCTTGTTCTAGAATATTGTGTTTTTTGTTCACTATTGGATTTCTGGGTAAATAGGAGAACCCAAAGAGTGCCAAAGCTGCTATTAGAAAAAAATATAAATTTTCCTCTTGTAATTTTACCAAACGCTCGAGTATCAAACATAAAAATCTTAACTTTTGACATTGAGAATTGTTAAACTTTTTAAAGTTAAAATTCCCATTAGTTAATAACCCTGACAGTGTCAAAGTTCCCGGTGCCTAAATCTCAGAATTCTATAACTCCTTGATAAAGAAATAACATAAATAGTTTTATTCTTAAACCTATTCTCTTCCTGGTTGCAAAGGGAAACCAAAAAAGCACAAGCAATTCAGTTGGCTATTTATGTCCTATCTAACTGGGTCCTGCCCTTGACGGTCTACAACTGCTATTATGCACAGTGAGATTTTGTGTGAGGCTATTGGCAATTTATATGACAGTGAGGCAACCACTTCCTAGATGTGAAATATAGAGTGACTGATCTGGGGGGTGGAGGGGGGCAGGGTAAGTGCCCCTTCTTCTGAGCTGGTCCCTCAAGCATAGGGGGAGAAGAGAGAACTTGGTCTATTCGCCATCATTAATATATTAATAAAATACTTACATTTTTTTTACAAAATAACATAATAAATATATATAAAATAAAAGTGTGTGTGTATATATGCATATTCATATATACAAATTCTATGTATATACTTATCTATTAATTTTATGTGATTAAGTAGTTTTATTAATTATAATTTGACGGAACTGACTGATAACCCAGGCAGAAAGTCCAGACAATTTAATTTGTAAGCCCTATATTTGACCCTGTAACTTTCCAAAATTCCAGAAAACCTGTACATGGGGGTACTGTTGGTCTTGGGAGACTTTGCTGAATACAAAAATGAGTGTTTTAAAATAGTAAAATGTATTATGACGATGATATCATCAGTGAAAATACAGTTTATATGTAAAAATGCAAATAAATTAAAAAATAACACTCACTTTGGCCAGTGTTTGTGACTAAGTGACTACTAAAAAAGACTGGGCATACCCTATTTTAAATACCCTGGGTTGTCTACTTTTCCAAATGGTATGCCATGATCAGGTTAATTTTCATTCATGGGCTGCCTCAAAGGCAACATAGGGTCAACAAACCAATCTGGCAAATTTCAATGTGCAAAAATGGAAAAGGGAAAAGCCCTATATTTACATCCTTTAAGTGTCAAAAAAAACCATGGAACTTGTACATGGGGGATACTCGAAAGACATTGTTGAAAACACATATGCGTATTTCATTTAAGACAGTCAAAGTTAAAAATGTCCTACAGAATTTGAAAATAACATTTCTTAATTCCTCACAGTTTTAGATTTTATTCAAATAAAAATAATGTTTCATATATAAATATTTTGATGTGAAATTAACCCCTTAAGGACACAACTTCTGGAATAAAAGGTAATCATGATGGAATATTTCCATCATGTGTCCTTAAGGGGTTATAGCCCTGAAATTAAAGCCTCCTGAACAAAATGATATATATATATTAAGTGTGGGTGCACCTAATATGAAAGAGGTGAATTACGGTTTCTATAGACATATAGTCAAATTCCAGGTTTTGTTTACATTTTGTTTTGATCAGAACTTGTACAATTGCCTCCATCCTTAAACGGTTAAGGGGACACTCATCGAAGTGGTCTGGGTGCAGTGTACCTTTCGTACTGCAAATGGGACTCTAGTGGGATGAAAATCTGAAGACACTACAAGCAACCGGCAATTGTTGTTAGTAATGACAGCTTATTGACAGCCATTTATCAACAAGATCGTAAACGAGCCCACAGTGCGAGCCTTCATATGTTCTGGCTGTGAGATGCTTGCAGATGTACTTAGTTATGTGCGTGACCCAAGTTTTTATAACATATCTCTGAGGGGTCATTGCCTTCCTCACGTCAAGTAATTAGGTGCCAGATTTTGTAAATAATTAAATACGTTTAAGTGTCGAATTGTGTAAATTAGGTCTTCACTTGAAAATTATTTATGTTTCAAATGATTTACAATGTTGTGGATTATGTTACAGTTTTCTACAGATGTTTATAAGAAAGCTCAAAAAAAATATTTTATTTTGCCTGTTTTCTTTGGGGGGGGGACTACGAATTCTTCACCAGCACAGATTTTTTATGGCTGTCCAAACACATACGTCTCTGTTAGCGGTGTTACAGCTACTTCAGTAGTCTGTGTGAGACAGATGCTGTGGGCTATTGTTTGCCACTTGAGTTTAGTTCCACTAAGCCAAATAACCAGCACATAGCAAATCAAGCTGTCTGATTGACAGCCGGGGAGGAGTTACAAGGCTCATTCATAAACGTGATGAATTTCTAAATCAGCAGTTTTATAAATTGGAATAATAGGACACGCAGTTCATACATAAAGCACATCAGCAAGCTTGGAGTGTTACTTTAACATATAGCAACTGCCTTGGTGTATCTGAGATCAATCTGTAATATGCAACTATATAATATCCAATCATGTTTAGTTTTGTTAGATCAAAGCTTGATAAAGATACTATTTGTGGTTTGAAAATTTGCCTTTTTCTGAGATTACAGGAGTTGTCTTGATAAAGACTCTATTTTGGAGTCACAATGTCACCTGTTTATCAAATTAAATTAAGAGGTTGCAAAGGGAAAGTCAGGGTATGATAAAGAGATCACAATATCACTAAGATGTGCTGGATATTTTAACTTATGTGGTTTCCATCTACAATGACCAATTGGGTCAGAGAGTGCAGAGCGCCACATATAACACCAGGGAAGCATGGCAGGAGCACTGGACCACCAGGGCAGGCAGTGTCATGGGGTCCTGCCATACAAGGGATAGAGGAAGGGCCCCAGGCAGGCTCCTTTGGAACCAAACAAACCAGGTTCTAGCCAGGGGAGTGAACTGGACTGAGAGTAGGTAAGGGTTTCTGTGTCAGTGTTGGCATCTGTGCTTGTGCATAAGTGTATTTATCTGTGCATGTGTGTCAGTGTTTGTGCTTTTCAGTGCTTGTACCAGTGTTTGTGTGTGTCAATGAATGCATCTGTGCATGTATGTCAGTATGTGTCAATGTTATTGTGTATGCGTGTCTATCTGTGTGTGTGTAAATGTGTCTACAGGCATCTATGTACTGTAGTGTATGGGTATTTCTGTGTATGGCAATGTGCCCACGTATTTGCGTGTGTGGCAGCGCTTATGTATTTGTGCATACACATTTGCATGCAGTCACCGATATTACACATAAACACACCCCTGTATTTAAACCCCAACACTGTAAATAAAAACAGTCCTGCATCCAAACACCTGCAGTTAAATGCCTACACTGCACACAAACAGACCCCCTGCATTCAAACATCAGTATACACAAACATATACACAAATATACTGCATACAAAAACACACTGACATTCACAAATACAGCATACAAATAGAAACCTGCAAGGGTGGGTAAATAGGTTAAAAATATTACACTGTGCTTATGTTCTTCCCTGCAGAGCTAGCTTTAAATCATGTTCTAGATGGAGCATAAATAGTTGACAACTTTCTCTGACCGTGACACGTTCTCCAATTGTAGTAGATAAATATTTAAAATAGGTATGCAAAAACAAAACACACACTAACATTTTAAAATAAATTTGGAAACATAAAAACCAAACAAAGTCTGAAATAAGAGTGAAGGTAATAAAGGATAACTTTAGAAAGTAGTAATTAAAGGGACACTATAGTCACCAGTGCAACTACATGTATTCCTGACCCTATAGTGTTAACACGACCATCTAGCTCCTCCCCCGTCTCCCCCCCGGGCCCCTTATGCATCCATAAATATAGTAAAAATCTTACTGTATTCAAGCCAGAAGCTGTAAATCCGCATGCTGTTAGACTCAGAAAAACAAGCAGTCTGCTGACATGTGATAGCCTGATCCAATCACAGTGCTTCCCCATAGGATTGGCTGAGACTGACAAGGAGGCAGATCAGGGGCAGAGCCAGCATGATTCAAACACAGTCCTGGCCAATCAGCATCTCCTCATAGAGATGCATTGAATCACTTAATCTCTATGAGGAAAGTTCCGTGTCTGCATGCAGTGACTGCAACTGGAGGTCTTCCTAGCTTTCAATGTAAACACTGTAATTTCTCAGAAAATACAATGTTTACATGAGAAAGGCTGCAGGGAGCTATAGTTCTCACCTGAACAACCTCATTAAGCTGAAGTTGTTCAGGTGACTATAGTGTCCCTTTAAAGAAAATCTGGAAAGTAAAAGAAAGGAATTAAAATTGGGATTGTTACCCACCTTAAACATGTAGGAAGAACATGTTTACCTATATTAACCTTCTCCCAGGTTGAAAAGCCTTTGTATTTGTGATCAGCGACAGTAAGCAGAGTCCTCAATGGTGAATGAATTGGTGGCCCAATGAAATGTGGTCAAAATAATAAAACTTGCTAAAGACCAAAAATGATAGGAGAGTGTGGATCGATCTCCGTGCTTGCTGAAACAGGCAAAATCGTGTGCGGAGAGACTGTTAAAATTGAGAGCTGTAGGTTGGGATTGGAAAGGTAAAGGAATCATCCAAGATGTTGAAATCCTGTTTGGAAGACAATATTCTAATGAGAAGTAGAGACAATCACTTAAACCAGTTGTTCCCAACCCAGTCCTCAATTACCCTCTACCAGTCCAGGATTTAGGGATTACCCTGTTGTGTCTAAAATGTTTATTTTTTATTTATTTTTAAACACCTTAGACACAACTGGGTAATCCCTAAATCCTGAACTGTTAGGGGGTACTTGAGAACTGGATTGGGAACCACTGACTTAAACTAAACCTAACCCTGGTTACTGTGTAAATATGATAATTGCCATTGCTGTTGGAATTCTGACAAAAGCCTGTCTTTAGTGACCCACCCCATTAATAAATTAATTAATACTGTTGAAATGTAGTCATAATAATGCTTATCAAGAACATATACAAATAGCTGATTCTCAAACATTAAACAATATATATCAAAATATCATTTTCCCTCTTTAAAAGCAATGGTAAAACGCCACCTTGAATATGTGGTGCAATTTTGTTTTAAAGAAGTTTATTGCAGATTTAGGAAAAGTGCAGAGGTAAGCTACAAAATAAGTAAAGGGAATGGAAAACATTAGTTGCGAGGAAAAGATAAAAAACTTTTTTTTTTCTCTCTAGAGACAAGGCGTCTCACAGAAAATATGATAACGCTATACAAATATAAACAGAGTTGGTACAAACCACTATGTACTAACCTGTTCATTAGCAGAATATACAACAGGCGAGGTCACCGTTGAGACTGGAAGAAAGGGGTCTTTGATGAAATTAGAGGAAGGGTTCTTTACAGTGAAAACAATACAAATTTGGAATTCTCTGTCTAAAGAAAGCTCTCCCTTATGTGGTCTCATCTTCAGTAGTACTCCTGCTATGGTAACTTCAGCTTTCTATTAAATATGGCTACTGTCATGAAACATGCCATGACTTTATTACCCAACTATTTCAGCTACTCCTGACTCACTATTAGCTCTCAGCACACAGTGTGTACATTGTTAAAGCAGCAGGATACTGATAGACTCATTATCTTTGCAGTTTGCAATATCAGAGATTGAAAAAAGTTGAAATAAGAATCCGATTCTGAATAGAGATGCCAATAGCATGCTTACACTCATGGACAGCTGTCTACGCTGTCTAAATGGTATCTACATGGAAATTCCTAAAACATTCCTTCTCAAAGAACACTAGGCACGTGTAAAACCTGCTGAAATAGGGCAGTTTTTAAACCAGCCCAATTTATTGACATGCCTAAATGCTCTCAAGTAAGCTTTGAAGTGATGCATGTTGCCCTAATGTTGCAATTATTTATCAATTCATTATATTATACAACGCCAACAAATTCCATAGTGCTTTACAATGGGTGGACTAACAAACATGTAGTTGTAACCAGACAAGTTTGATGCACAGAAACAGAGGGGATGAGGGCTCTGCTCAATGAGCTTACATGCTAGAGGGAGTGGGGTAAAGTGACACAAAGGCTAGGAAAGTAGATCGGTAGAATAGTATTCAATGAAGAATTAGTGTGGGTTTTTTGGAGCCATTAACAGTTTAATTGATATGCTGAAAAAGTGAGTTTTTAATGATTCTTTTGAAGGAGTGGAGACTGGGTGAGCATCTAACGGAGGAGGGAAGCGAGTTCCACAGGAACGGTGCAGCCCTACAGAAATCTTTAATGCGAGCATCAGAGGTGGGAGTATGAACAGAGGGTAGACACAGGTCTTCGGCAGAGTGTAGGAGTCTAGACGGGACATACTTGTGTATTAGGGAGGATCGGTCGGTGGGAGTAGCATTATGTAGAGATTTGAAAGCAAGAACTAGAATTTTATATTGAGCTCTATATCTCATGGGAAGCCAATGCAGGGACTGACAGATGGGATGAGCATGGGCATGAGCAGGAATTTTCCTGGGAGGGGTGGGGGGGTGGGGCATAATTGTTATGACATCCATGCTTGGCCCCTTTTTGACAGTGTTATGAAGAGGAGGAGCATAGTCATTATCTCATAAAGCCAGGGTGAATAGTGTTTTCACAACTATGGTGTCAGGAATACATGTTTGTATTCCTGACACTATAGTGTTCCTTTAAGCAAATTAAAGAAACATTTTGGTCACCATAACAACTTCATCTAAATGAAAATGCTATGATGTCAGGAGGCCCCTGGGTGCTCTCTTTCCTTTAAGGGGTTAAACCGCTCTCAAATGGTTTGACCCCAAAAAAGGCTTCCTCCAGCTCCAGGTCACTCAGTGGTATTTGGCTTCTGAAACGGAGTGTCAGAAAGTGCAGATTGACGTCAGGCATGGGTGCCGCTGATTGGCTAGAGTGGTCAGCTGACGCTCTAAGCCAATCGCTAGTTCCCGATTCATAAACATTTTTACGTTTTTATGAACGGGGAGCTTCTGATTGGCTTAGAGTGCCTGCTGAACGTTGTAGCCAATGAGCGGCACCCCTACCTAGCAGCCCTCTAGATTTAATGACACTCAGTAAATCAAAGTGAACACATTAACACTGATCTGTTATTTACCTGGGGAGATGAGAAGGTCCAAAGATTCCTGCCAGGCCCAGGTGCCAAAGCCTTATCATGTGGTGTCCAGAATGAAGTGGAGGGATCACTTCACTTGTCCTTCCTGCTCCAATCTCATTTTCATCTCCATTTGACACAGTCTTCTTTTTCTTCTGACACTGTCTTCTCTCCTCCTTGGCTCCTTGTGCTCCTTTACCTTTCTGCTACTTTCTGCTTATTTTGCATCCTTCTTCTCCTTTCTCTTTCTGCTCCTTGCAGACCCTTCCTTCTCCTTGATGACCACTCCTGCTCTTTGCTGACCCTTCCTGCTCCTTGCTGACCCTTCCTGCTTCTTGCTGCCTCTTTTCTACTCCTTGCTGGCCCCTCCTGCCCCTTGCAGACCCTTCCCACTCCTTGATGACTCCTCCTGCTCCTTACAGACCCTTCCTGCTCCTTGCAGACCCTTTCTGCTTCTTTCTGCTCCTTTCTGCTCCTTGCAGACCCTTCCTGCTCCTTGCTGCCCCCTCCTGCTCCTTGCAGACCCTTTCTGCTCCGTGCAGACCCTCTATGCTCCTTGCTGACCCCGCTTTCTCCTTGCTGACCTTTCCTGCTTCTTGCTGCCCCTTCTGCTCTTCCTATTCCTTGCTGATCCCACCTGCCCCTTGCAGAACCTTTCTGCTCCTTCTACTTTACCTTCCAGTAGGCTGCCTCCCCCCATCCCTCACTTACCTGATCTGTTGGCTACACTCTGTGCTGCTCCCCTGCGGATGCAGTCAGGAGTAAGAAGCAGGGATAAGCTGTAGCTTCCTATCCCTGCCTTTCTCAATTCTCAGCACCACCTACTGGCCGGTATTGCAGTTTATCATCACATAAAGGAAAAATTAGCCTTGCCGTCGCATTCATTATAGACTGCAATGGGGCAAGTTGGAAACAAGTAAAACCACTGAGAAGCGGATTTCAGTAGTCAAGGCGAGAGAGGACAGTGGCATGGACCAGAATCTTAACTGCATCTAGAGTTAGGTAGGGGCGGATACACGCAATGTTTTTGAGATGAAAGCGTCAGGATTTGGCGAGCCAGAGAAAGAAACACTAAAAGAACGCTGAGTAAGTGTAACGGATCATCTGGCACCCCGACTGGGTACCACCGTTGATGGATGCTCCTAGCGCTTCCGGAGGGCTCCAAGCACTCCAGCAGACACCATGACCACCATAGACTCCTTCAGCGAGCCAAACAGGAGCAAGCTCTTAAAAGAACTTCGTAGTGATTATAGCAAGAGAGTATGCAGAACATAGCAATCCCTTGTAGCAGATTCCCCCAATAAGAGACAGCACTCCAAATTGAGGGTGAAGTAGAACTGAAGCTTTTAATCAAACACTGCTTTTATGCACATTTTGCACACATACTACTGCCCACAGGGTTTTGCAAAACAACCAATCAACACATACAATACACTCAGACACTCCCAGCAATTACACACAAAATCGTCCCCTCTGCCTGTGATACAATTATCTCAACACAATAGACTAACTTAATCACAGGCAGAAAATATACAGTTTTTACAAAATATTAATAACTTCCAAAATATACATGTCATTTACATAAAATACATATATAAATACATTTTCAGAATCCGCATAATTTAAACATAAATATACTCAAAAATCATACAAATCCCTTCAGTATTTAAATAGTTAGCTGGACCGATTTTCATGCCCAAAACAGTTCCATGGATTTGGGCTGTGCGGTCGGTCTATTTTACACTGAATCTTCGAACGGGACTTAGTCTCCAGCCGCAGTGTCGAAGTGGAGGAGAAGGTACGGGTCAGCGGTGTTCGTGCAAGTGGGTAGCCGAAAACAGTTCCATAGATTTGACAGCACACACCGCTGACCGCGTTCGTATGAGTTAAAATCGCTGTATCCGAAGTGCCCATTTAAAGTTGCAACACTGCAACACTGCTCCAAAGTAATTAAAGGGCCAGAAACAACATTATAAAAATCCATTATGCCCAAATCAGTCCCTTAAAGGGCAATACATCCCAGGGCCATAGTCGCAGGGCATTAGGCTGGCAAACAGGCCCCTCCCAAAACCAGTGGCGAGGTCACTTTCACCACAGTGAGGTAGGAGGAGCACCAGGAGAGAGCAATATCTCGTAGCCTGAGATTACGGAGGATGAGAAGAAGCTGTTGATGACCAACAGTATCAAAAGCAGCAGAAAGGTCAACGAGAATTAGGATAGAGTAGTGACCATGAGATTTTGCAGTGAGTAGATACTTTGATCAGAACCATTTCCACAGAGTGCTAAGCACGGAAACCAGGCTGAAATAGATCGAGCCAAGAATTGGTGCAGAGGAAGTCTGTCAATCTCACATACACAAGTCTTTCAAGGATCTTGGACGCAAAAGGCAGTAGTGAGATAGGGCAGTAGTTAGAATCGGGGTTACAGTCGCTTGTTTGAAGGGTAATGGAAATATGCCAGATGAGAGGGAGAGATTAAGAATTTTAGTGAGAGGCAAAGCAAGAGAAGGAGACAGAGTATGGATGAGATGCGAGGGAATAGGATCAAGGGAGCAGTTGGTTGGGCACAGGGCCGGCCTTTGGGGTGTGTGAGCTATGCGGCAACAGGGACGTTGGGCGGCCGACACAGCTCACAGGTCACTCACAGGAAAATGCAGAGCAAGTCAAGTGCATAGTGCTGCTGTGCACTTGACTTACAAATTATGAGGAAAGAGCCGTGGCCAGGAACTCACTTGTGGATAATGAACAAGTCCGGAGCGTGGAGGAGCTTGAGGGTGCAACATCGACGTGCTCCACCTTAAAGGACCACTATAGTGCCAGGAAAACATACTCGTTTTCCTGGCACTATAGTGCCCTGAGGGTGCCCCCACCCTCAGGGTCCCCCTCCCGCCCGGATCTGGAAAGGGGAAAAGGGTTAAAACTTACCTTTTTCCAGCGCTGGGCAGGGAGCTCTCCTCCTCCGATCCTCCTCCTCTCCTCCCCGTCGGCTGAATGCGCACACGCAGCATGAGCTGCGCGCGCATTCAGCCAGTCGCATAGGAAAGCATTTACAATGCTTTCCTATGGACGCTTTCGTGCTCTCACTGTGATTTTCAATGAGACAGCCACTAGAGGATTTGGGGGAAGGCTTAACCCATTAATAAACATAGCAGTTTCTCTGAAACTGCTATGTTTATAAAAAAAATGGGTTAACCCTAGCTGGACCAGGCACCCAGACCACTTCATTAAGCTGAAGTGGTCTGGGTGCCTAGAGTGGTCCTTTAACAGGGAGCCACGGAAGGATCCACTCAGTATGTGTGAAGGCGGCGGTTGGTGCTGTTCATTCGGCAACCTGGTGGAGTGGGAAGCAGACAGCTGGGTCAGGGGAGCAGCAGCCTTTAATGTAAGTGCTTGTTCTTATTCATTTTGTTTTTTTACTAAATGGATTTATTTTATTGAAGGGGCAGGGGATTAAAGGAAGGGGCACAGTGGTTTGATGGTAGGGGAGCAGGGGATTGATGAAGGGGCATGGGACTGATGAAGGGGGGCATGGGATTGATAAAGGGGGGCATGGGATTGATAAAGGGGACAGGGGACTGATGATGGGGGGCATGGGATTTGAAGAAGGGGGCAGGGAATTAATGAAGGGGTAGCCAGGGATTGAATGGGTGGATGCAGAGGTTTAGTGAAGGTGGGCAGGGTTTTGTAGAAGGTGGTGGAGGCAGTAGATTGTGAATGAATGTTCCTGAAATTGTTTAGAGGGAGTCAACCAGAGACGGCAGGGTGGGGGTGGGGGGTAGGTGAAAGGAAGGGGTGGCGTGCCAAAAGATTGACTCGCACAGAGTGCCTGAATACCTAAGGCCGGTCCTGCTGGGGCGGGAGGACCGAAGTAGATCAAAAACCTCTTCCACTTTATCTGCAAATGAACATAGAACAGTGGAGGGAGTTAGGTTGGGGAAAGTATTGTAAGGGGAAGGAGAAAGATGAGAGAGCTCTTCCCTGATTCTAGAGCTCTTGTCACTGAAGTGAGTTGCACAGTTTGTGGTGATTAAGTCGGTAGGAGGAGGAGGAGCAACAGGGCGAAGAAGAGAGTTAAATGTGTGAAATAGTAGTTTGGGTTCACGGGAGAGTGTGGTCATGAAGGTATTGAAGCCATTTACTTTTAGCAAAGGAAAGAGCCAATCTGTAAGGGCACATCATAAATTTATAGTGGAGAAAGTCAGATGCAGAGTGAGACTTTTCTCCACCAGCGTTCAGCAGTTCTGCATGCAAAGATACTTCAGGATATTCAGTTTAGCGTACTCGAGAAACTTTCTCATTATTCGAATTGAAGTGAGGAAGTGTTTTTAAAATATTAAAATGACAAATGTGTGTTCATAAAAAACACAGTATTGCAATGCCCAGCATTAACTAAAGATGCTGAATAATACTTCATGATACATCTGTGTGATGGTGTGCATTCTCTCCCTGTAGGCCTACAAATATGCTTTTGAATCATGAAGGGGAGGTGTGTCCCTGGTACAGATACGCTTTTAAAATATTTTTATTGAAAGATTTAAAATTTTACAATAAAATGAACAATCAATATGAGATAAGTTAAATATTGACACAACAAACAGATGCTCTAAGCATAAATTAAATTATATATGTTCTGCAAAACAATATTGAGCTGTATGCTAATCTGAAATGACAACCTGCTCATAATGTATCTGCATTCCACTTTCCTTTAGTGTTCCACAAATAATGAATTTTATTTTTCAGTTAGCTTACAGGATGCTGAGAATAGAGTCTGAACAATATCTGCCACCACTTCCCAAAACATATAAAAAATCATCTAATCTTTCTCATGATGTGGAGTCTCACCATCAAGAGACAGACAATGAATTTAATGAACTTTTAAAACTATTACACTGGCCAACACCTCCAGTCAGTAACCTCAACTTCACTCTTTCCACCAGTCCCAAAGAGAGTAGATATCAACTTATGAATAAACGAGACACCTACAGAGTTGGAGAGATGTTAGATGTTCTCATCACAGCCAAGGATCATCTTGCTCACCCGAATTCCTATGGAGGAGACTTCTTCCTGGCTAAGCTACACTCTCCAAAACAAAAAGCTGGAGTAACCGGACTTGTGAAGGACTATGGAAATGGGAGCTACCTCGCAAAGTTTCTCCTGCCATGGCCTGGGCTAGCCCAAGTCAGTATCCGGCTCATTCACTCCAGTGAAGTTATCTCAATACTGAAAGACAAACGAGATAGATATCCAGAAAAGGTGATTCCATTGATTGATCATAGGTGGTATCCTGACTGCCATTGATTTATGAAAGGTGTTTAATCTGAGCTCAAACTATTAGATCGATTGTAAACTCTGCTTGTTAATTTTTTTTATCTAATATGGGTAATCATGAATACAGTACATTACAGAAAAACACTATGACAATAGTAAAAATTTTATTTATGGAGAAATTAATTTTGTGCTTGCAAACTGCAGAAATATGAGACGAAAACCATAATTCCGTTTTGTGTTACGTACCAAACCTTGGTATGATAAACCATTAATAAGTTTGAATTGATTTAATTACCACCGTTAAAGGCTTAATAACAGTCAACAAATATCATTCCAAATAACAAAATATTATTAATTAGTATGTAGCGGATTAATTAGTACAGAGGGGATGCTCATGGTTGGAGGCACAGGAAAACCTGTACTATCTCTTCCCTGTATGTTACTGTCATTCGTTTTTGATTACCTGGGGCTGCCTGTTTAGCAAACATGAGCCCACTCACGGCATTGCAAGTGGCGTCATGGAGTGGTTTAGAATCTTATTAAAAATACATAGTGTAATACAGATAAAGTGTAAAAAATAGACACGCTATATTTTGCACTCACAAGATGTAGACTGTGAGATCACCTTATAGGTGCCACCCCTGATAGCACTGGCAATTAAAATCAAGTGAAAATAGGACCATAGGGCCAGGCCTATAATCTTATTTTAATTGCCAAATAAAGGAATTTTTATTTCATCTGATTCCTGTTCCTATTCCTTCTGGTTCCTGAACCCAATACCAACGAGAGCATACAAGGCTTCTTTTAGCCCCTCCTACCCCCCAGTGCTATCAGGGGTGGACCCTATAATGTGATCTCAGTGTTTACATCTTGTGAGTGCAAAATATAGCGTGTCTATTTGGTACACTTTATCTGTATTACACTATGTATTTTTTATTTTATTGTTAGGTTGTACAGCTGTATCCCTTTGTTTATCTATATATACACACACACACAATGAATTATATGGTACCCATCTGGGACGGTTACCCAGGGAAGCTGTAACGTTATCAAGTTACGTTATAGTTATTTCTTTTTCACATGTTGGTTTGCTGCATATAGCACTTTTGTGTAGTGTTTAGTGTTTTTTGGTTTAGAAAATTGCTTGTTCAATCCCAATGCAAATGACCAAATTAATGAATGGTACCCAACGAAAATTCATTCTGCAACCCATTTGTTTTTTCGGTAATTCAGTATTTTCTTATTTTCTATTCCCTTTTGGATGAAATGAACAAAAAATTGACAAGTTAATTTTCATTAATTTTTATGTTTCTCCAATTATTATTTTTTTCTGAAACACATAATCTGGAGCTATTTAGGTGAGGAGTTTGAAGGATGTGCATAGTTTTGCTTAGGAGCTAGTGTTATTTATTGTGTTCCTCTGAAGTGTGGTCATATTTCTGTTTCTGTTTTGTCTGTATAGGGAAGGAAAGGATATTTGGCATACTTGGATATAAGTTTAGCCACATCGTTACCAGAAATATTAGAAATAGCTCTAAAAGGAAAATTACATTCACCAAAACAAAACAAAAATGAGCCGACACACTGCAAACTGATTTCAGTAAAGCTACACATGATATTTAATTTCAAATATGTTTCCTGTGATTAGTTCATTACAGTGTTTGTATTTAGAGTTCTGGTTCCGTTCCAGGTCTTTTTTCATGGGTTTTTCCAATTTAATGGATCCAGTGAAGTAACGGAGTGTAATGTGGTTGTGTCAGGAAAAAATGTCTGTAAATACATGGATCCAGTGAGTGGTGACACGTGGCAATGCGTGAAGCCAAACACTCTGTCATGCGACTCTTGGACCTATCACTCCATGGGTGGATATCGACACGTGACAAATTCTATTGAGAATGTTCTGATGGGTCGGTGAGTAAGAATGCATTCTAATAATCAAATACAAGAGGACTACACTGTGATGGAGGTATCTCATAAAAGATCACACACTCAAATTAATAGGAACACATCAACTCGGGTCCACAACAAGAGGACATAGTCTTAAATTAGAGGGACAAAGGTTTAAAAATAATATCAGGAAGTATTACTTTACTGAGAGGGTAGTGGATGCATGGAATAGCCTTCCAGCTGAAGTGGTAGAGGTTAACACAGTAAAGGAGTTTAAGCATGCATGGGATAGGCATAAGGCTATCCTAACTATAAGATAAGGCTAGGGACTAATGAAAGTTTTTAGAAAATTGGGCAGACTAGATGGGCCGAATGGTTCTTATCTGCCGTCACATTCTATGTTTCTATGTTTCTATGTTTCTATGTCCTGCCTGATAGACTTGTGCATGGCAGAATAATTCATTTTGGCCAGGTGACGGAGAATAAAAAGACATTTCGGGACAGCAGAATTTTGTGCATTTGGCAGCTTGACTTCGAAACTGAGTCATAAAAAAACAAAAATATGCAAAAATCAGTGTACTGCAAAACAAATACGCAATGTTAAGTCTATATTTTGTAGTACACCGATACGCACATTTTCCAGTGTCATTTTTTTCACAGCTGAAGTGAGAAAAAGAATAGCAGTAAAAATGGGTTAAATATATTTATTAAATATATGATATATAAATATAACTTTTTACAGCTCCTTTTTGTTGTCCCTCAAATATTCACAGTAAATAAGAACATTTAGTGACTGTCCCTTAGCCATCAATCTTCTGTTTTCCATACTATCAGCTCTACTTTTATTTTTTTGGCAACATAAGCAGAACTCCAAATCATGAATCCCATGACCATGCAAGATTATCTTCAACACTGATACCATATCAATGACCTCCTTATTAAGGGAGTAAAGCACTCAAGTCTCTTTTGATTAAACCTATAATTGTCTGCTCTAGTAAATCACAATGTATTGAAGAGGATTCGGTTCGACTGCTGTCCTGTGACCACACTTATATCGACCCTCTTTGCAATCTATGAAATAACCCACCTATCCTATTCCCCAGATCTGTTACTAATCAGAACATACCTGGATCAGTGTCTCCAATCATTGTTGAGCCAATCAACAGTACTATGGGTAAGATGCTAATATAATTTAACTGAATTCCAAAATAGTTTTCTCCAATATTAACCTCTGGTCACAAATTGAAAACAAAAATGGAAAGTGTTTCTTAATATTTACTAACAGAGAAAGGGGAATGGAGTGAAACAGTTCCTTATTAAATTAAAGCTTAACTTTTATTGATCGTAAGTTAAAGTGATTAGATCACCCTTTAAAAATACATAAAAAATAAAACATATATTTCCAATTATCAACGTATGTCACTGCATAGAAGGTGGTATATTCCGTACAAAATGCTGTAGATCAAAGGTTCTTCCCAACTGTTGCACTGTCAGTCACTTAGATACAAGTAAAGTATTTGACACTTTAAGAACTCAAAGTCCATAGCAACAATGTAGAAACATAAATAGATAGGTGAATAGCATTTACCTCTTTATAACTTAGATAAAGAGAAGCAACCAGTGGCGTACACACACTCCATGGGGCCCCCGGTGCAAAACTGATCCTCCCCCCTCCATTTCCTCCTCGACAGACAGAAGACAGACACAGAGACAGACAGACGCACACAGACACACACGACACGTATACATACAAAGAAACATACATACAGACTGGCACACATACAAACAAACACACATATACAAAACGTTTAAGTCACCCTCCTGTTTCCTACCTTTTGGGTGCAGGAGGGTGACTTTCCCTGGAGTCCAGTAGTAGCTCAGGCTGATGTGAGTCAGAGTTCCCACTCCCTCATCTGCTTCCTCCCGCGCAGGCTCTGTGCATGCTGGGAGGAGTGACCGGGGCAGTCACTTCCTCCCAGCATGTGATGTCATCACAGGGGGCAAAGTCGCGCTGTTAAAGAGCCGCAGCACTGACCAGGCCCCCTGAAATACCCATCGGGTGGCCCTAGCAGCATGGGCCACCCGATGAACCCCTTGGACCGCAGCCCCTTGGACGGGCCCCCTGAAGTGACGAGCCCAGTCGCAGCTGCAACCCCGATATGTACGCCACTGGAAGCAACTATGTTGCAACAAGCCAATTTGTAATTACCGATTTATGAAAAAATAGGTGGCCCACGATTCCCCTATACCAGGCTTCCCCAAACTCCAGCCCTCCAGCTATACTACAACTCCCATGATGCTCAGCCTATTTATAGAATCATGGGAGTTGTAGTTCAGCAACATGTGGAGGGCCGGTGTTGGGGGAAGCCTGTCCTATACTATACAACAGTATTCTGCTGAAAGATTATTTTGCTACTACATTAACACCCAGAGTTACCCTAATGTTCCTTCAGACATTCAGTCTGAACTACAATATCTAAAAGTCCCTGCCAAAGTCATGCTGAATGTACCTTTACACAAATCACTTTCTCTTCCTCTGTCAGGATCTGTTCTTCTCTTCCTAACTGATCTAGTTTTCTTTAAAACAGAAGACAAAGTAGAGACTTCTTTGTCTTATATTTTTCCTACGCTTGCTCAGCTTTGACCCAAGGAGGAGCTAAGTTTGCTTCATTTCCAGTGGTCAAAGAAGTTTTCCCACAATATTCACCTCTCCTGCTGTTGCTTCATTCAGCGTTCGTACAGCCTGTGAAACAACAACAACAAAATTCGTCCTAACAGTTTGTCCATTCATGTTAGGACGTAATTCTGTACTTTTTGTTCAGATCCGAATATCATTCGGATGAAGGAAATTCCTATGCTATACATGCCGTGGGTGCATCTTGCAGCTGCTTAGTAAATAGCTCCCTAATTCCCACGGTATTAGGGAGCTATCTACTAAAAGGCCGAAAGACCAAAATTGGTCTTTCAGCCAAATTTACTAATACTAAGTAAAGATTACTTAGTATTAGTAGTTAAGGGAGATTAAAATCTTCCTTCTGTCCCTACTCGCTATACCGAGAGTAGGGACATGTCTACAACAGATCGAGCAGTACCAGTGGCTGCTTACTGTTGTAAAAAATACTCCCATGACTAATAAAGTGGCCCTTAATGGGGCACTTATACAAATAATTTAATGTCCCCCCGAGCTCCCACTCATGCACCAGGAGTGAGGACCACTAAACTAAATGGGGGACCTAGTGTTTCCCCCAAAGCCTCCACCCATGACCGGTGGGTGGGGGCCCTAAGATACAATAGGGGGGGGAGACTTACTGCCTCCACCCCAGCCCATCCATGAGTGACGGGATGGGGCCCAAAATGACACTAGAGGGAGGACATATTGTCCTCCTCCAGCCAACACCCAGTGGGTGGGGGCCCTAAGTTACAATGGAGCCAGGCTCTCTGTAAAAGTGTTGTAAATTTATGGTAAGAATGGTTAAAGAGCCAGGATCTCTCCAAGAATGTTGCAGTTCATATAATAGCCCCTTATAAAGTTTTCTGATAACTATATTTCATTTTGCTTAGATCTTTTTTGATAAAACTTTGAATAATGCTAAACCTCTTATTTGATTTACATTTGGATACATTTATTGTACTTGTGTCAACAGGGCCACAGCTTCCACCTGCGGCATGTCTTCTCCCTCTCTAAAGAGCCTTTCTGCAGCGTGGTTACCACAGCAACACTCAAATAGCGGAGACTCATGAAAGATTGAGAGAGGACCTGCTGGAGATGGAGTTTCCTGGGCCCCCAATAACATAAAAGAGAGCAGGATATTTATGGACTGATGCAAGGTTAAAATTTTGTGCTGATTAATAAAAAAGTAAAGTTTTAGACGAAGTCCCAAGAGTGCTGACCATCTTTTGGAATATCTATCGATCTTTTCCCACAGGAATTACAAATTTGCAGTGATTTTACTACTGCAAAGGATTCTGGGTAGGAATATGCAAATTAGTTTAACCAAGAATCACATTTTTGCCTCCTTCCATGTTAAACATGGATTCATTTGAGTCTGTTTGCTGTATACAACAGCTTTGAAACACAACTTAGGAAAAGGAATCCATGTTAAAAATGGAATGATGCAAAAATGTGATTCTTTGTTAAACTAATTTGCATATGCCCACCCAGAATCCTTTGCAGTAGTAACATCACTGCAGATTTGTAATTCCTGTGGGAAAAGCAAGTCTTGACTGGTGTGCATATTTTTGTTTAACATTGTATTCACTATCCATAGACTTCAGGTGGAAGGGGTTTTCAATCACAAATATTTCCCCTTTGTAACCTTTTAGATTTTTGCTATGACTCTCTTCTGTGAAAATGTGAACGATAACATTTCAAACCCTAGAAACGTTTGGAAACTCAAACAACTTACAAACTCCCCCAATCCACTCCCAACCCTCCACTGTCAAAGTGGACAACCAAACCCTGCAACTTCCCTTAGATGCAGCAAATGCCCTTAAAAGTTATTTTGTCAGTTCCTCCACGACCCTGATTGCCGAGCTAATAAATGACACATCCTAAAACTACAAATGTGGATCAGGCCCCACTAAATTTGCAAAGACCCAATATAGAGAAGTTCAATTTTACACCTGTACCTATTAGTGTCATTAAGAAACAACTTAATCTAAAAGTGAAAAACCAGTCTGGACCTGATCAAATTCCAAAAATGCTGTTTAAGCTCAGTGCGCCGGCAATTGCTAAACCTGTCACAACCCTAATTAATGAATCCTTAGTGTCTGGATTTATACCAAAACTTTGGAAGACTGCGAGAGTAGTGCCTATCCATAAAAGCGGTGACACAACTTTGGTTTCTAACTATGGCCCAATATCGTTGCCCCCAGTATTATCAAAAATCTTAGAAAATTGTGTCCATACACAACTGTTACCAACAATCAAACTGAGTATTACCAACAATCAAACTATCTGACCCCTGATCAGTGAGGCTTTCATCAGAATCACTCAAGTACAACTGCCCTCTTAAAAGTTTGCAATGACATCCAAACTGACATGGAACAAGGAGCCCTAACTGGAGCTATTTTTCTTGATTTTGTAAAAGCCTTTGACACATTAGACCACGACATTCTTGGGTATTGGTGATTGTTCGCTAACCTGATTTCGATCATATGCATCAGATCAGATCGATAGCAATATGTGTCGATTTCTTACAGCGACTCCCTCCCTCTCCCAGTCACGTGCGGTGTTCCCCAGGGTTCCATTCTCACACCCTACTATTTACAATATTTATAAATGATCTGCCTAATGTCTGCAAATCTTCAAGTGTACACATGTACGCAGACGACACAGTAATTGTCATGATCTTGTGGAGGTCCTGACGTCTCTTTTCCAGTTCAAGTTTAGTTAGTGGTTCTCTTTTCTTGCTTTTCCTGGAAGGTGAGTTTGACTGTCTTTTTGTCTGGGTTTTTCCTTTCAGGAGGATTGCTGGAACTTGAATGAACTACACTTATTAGGGCTTTACATAATTCCAATAAACACTCGGCTAGGATCTTCAAAACATCATTTAACCCTGAATTCTCCTGTTTAAGGCCTTTACATTCTGTAATGTGCAGGTCAGATAGGAGACTTATGCCTGGGTTGACTTTATTAGTGATTTTAAACATATGATGAAACTTGAGGTAAAACAGAATTTAGGTAATATGCCACAAAACAGGATACTTGCCACAGAACAGGTTACTTGCAAGTAATAAAGAATGTCTGAAATTTCCAGGTAGGGTTGTAACAAAGCCAGGCTGTTTACAGTATAGGTAAGGCTGGAGCAGGTTATTGTTAGGAGCAGGTTTGAAGGTAAATCTGGAGCAGGTTCACAGGAGCCAGGATATGAAGCAATTCAGGTAAATCACCAATTTCAATGTAAAGGCCAGTGGTATTCTCGTGTGGGACCTTTTGTAGGTTCTGTAATTAGTCCTAGGCAGGTGAGGACTGAGGTGACTAGTGGCTAGGGAGGCCACTAGTGGTGGAGAGCTGGAACTTCTTTTAAAGGAACATAAATAAATTAAGATAAAACATAGTTGTCAGGATACGATCCTAACAGTAATTTATGCAAGCAAATCCGTTCTACCGAAGCTTGAGGCTGTGCTCGAAGACCGGTTCGTAGAGGTAGAAAGGTGGATTGCAAAAAACAAACTCTTCCTAAACACTGACAAAACTGTCACAATGATCTTTGGAAGAGTACCTAAATTACACAAAATACACAATTCTCACCTATCCATCAAAACAAATTCAAATAGCACACTGAGCGCAGTCCACTCTTTCAAATACTTTTTGTTGTTAGACCCCAATCTATCTTTTAACCTCCACATAGAAAAACTTGCATCTAAACTTTATCCAAAACTAGGTGCCCTGTACAGAAACAAATCCTGCCTAAGCCCTACAGTAAAGGAAAAGATTGTACAGCACATGCTGATGCTAATCATTGATTATGGGGATGCAGTATATACACCTGCACTGCAAACCCACCTTTATAAACTTAATACATTGTATAACTCGTTCTGACGCATTGTGCTACAATGTAATTACAGGACCCACCATTGTGACATGCTAAAAGAACTAGACTGGCTGTCGCTGGAATCCAGACGCACCCTTCATCTTCCCACCCTTGTATTTAAGAGCTTTTCTGGGAAGCTCCCACCATACCTTAGCAGAATGCTCTCCCCGGCTGTTCCCACCTGCTATAACCTCCGATCCAGTACCAGCACTTTATTTAGTCTACCTCAATACAAAAACAAAAATATAATAATTATATATATATATATACATACATATACACACACACACACACACGTGAAGTGAATGACATGGGAAGTGGAATATGGTGAAGGAGATTATGGTTAAATGAACAAGTTAGAGATGAAAGCTCCAGTAAGAAAGATAAAAGTATACATTCTTCTTCCCGATGTGTATTTAACTTATTTTTTCTCTTCTCTTTCTTTCTTTCTCTTTCAAACATCAGGCTATTTAAATACATGTATTTCATTAGTGTGATTAATTCCTACTCTCTCTAACTGTCCCTCAGGCTTGACCTCAAACCTCACCGTCTGTAAGACTGGACAAGAACCACCACAACCCTCTGGATATTATTATAAAGACATCTGGACTTCGCTGGTCTGTTTGGGGAAACATTTTCCTCGTCCATCTGATGCCAGAGACTGCTTACGTGGGAAAATTATACACATGATTGGTGATTCCACCCTACGACAGTGGTTTGAATATTTGGAGAAATTTATTCCAAGTGAGAGATATTGAATGACATTAACTGGGCATCTATGGGAATAGTGAGAGGTTGAGAAGGTTGAGTAAACCGTGAGAATATGAGTTCGCAGAGTAGTTAGAACCCAAGATATTTCCTGAAGGGTCAAAGTTTAATCCACAATTATTAAAAACTTTTCAGATGTATGATCCACCAATGAGTAATTTGGTGTTTCTTAATCAATACGTTTTATGTTAGGATACTGTCCCTGTTCATTGTGTCTATCTTTCTTAGTAATTTCTGGCCCATTTAGGAGAACATATTACTGACAATCATAAACAAATGCAGATACGTTGTTACACCTGTTTTAATTTGTTTTCTATTTTATTTTTTTTATTTTTTGTTTTGTCGTGCTGTGAGTTAAAAAAGATAGGGTTAACATACACATCGATGTACATTACAGTGTTATTCAGTAGTCTTTAAACAGTTTGTGTGTTACAGCTTAGCACTTTTCAAAAAAAATAATTATTTAAACTTAACATGCATGGGTGGTTAGGCGGTATTAGGAGACAATAGTGAGCTTACTTATGTCTGTTGGATAGTAAATAGCATTATCTAGGTTGTGTAGTGGCAGTGGTGGTGTGATCTGGAGTGGGTGCTTTATGTCAGGTATACAGATGTATACGTTTTGTCATATGGGGAGCGATTTAGATAAGTCCCACTTGTGGATCCATAGGGTGGGTATGTAGGTGTAGTTTAGGTTAGAGATGCTTGACAGTAGACTGTGTGAAAGCTCTTCCTCCTCGTGGAGATGTAGTATACCCATGTGCTGTGTAGGCTACTCTGGAGGGGTAGTGACCCTAACCCAGGGGTCATGGGGGGGAGGGGTTTGCACCCTGTGTTACATTATGCCTCATGTTGTTACGCTAGTGGACCTGGTCCGTAACAGTGTATCAACAGTAGAGTCAAACTGTCAATATGGTAGTCGGCAGCAATGAAGTAGAAAAGTAAAGAGAAAGTACAAAAAAAAAAATAGAACTGATAACTTTCGGTTCCTGTCTTGTGCTGAAAGTTGTGTTGAGAGGACTTGTTGGGTGTGCTGTAGTTGGAGGATAGACTCTTTTAGTGTGGAAGGTTCCCGCTGGATCACCTTTACCTCCCCCTCTGTGTTTACCACTTTCTCAGTGATTTGTTGCATGCTTGTTTTAAGGGCAGGTAAGTCTGCAGCCAGGAGACTTTGTATTTCCTGCAGCATATGTTGTAGGTGCTGCAGGTCCTGCTTGGTTGTAGGGTCTGTGCTTCCCTGCAGTGTTGTGGTCTGTGGCTGTGTGGCTGGAACCTCCGCAGCCACCATCTTGCTGGAGCATGGTGCCTATATCAGGCTGTACAGCTGCCGTATTTAGTTGGGGCTTCTGTGATCTACACCCCATCTCTGTGGCTGTGTGGTCGGTGCTGCACTGTATCTGGTCTCCGTGACTTCTGGGCAGTTCTGGCCGAACATATGTTCCAGGCCGTAGAATGCTGGTGTGAGGTAGGCCCCAGCTTTGTGCTTCGACTTAGCCTGTTACGGGGTGTACCAGAAGGGCATCAGGTGGTGCAGTACTGGTTCCCGCATTCAGGTCTGGTACATTTGTCCCTGGATGGCTTTGTCATGTGGAGATTTTAGGTTGATTGAGACTGGATAGACGGGAGCAGTCAGAAATGGCATCTGGTCCGTCTCCCTGCTAGGCTCCGCCCACATACCTTTCATTTTTAATGTCCACTTTTATGTTGATAGAAGAATTGCCAGACTCATCCTTATCTGCCATCCAAGTTAGTTTCTATAAGTCTGGAAGTTAAAAATTATGTATCGAGATTAATTAAAAATATCTATGTAATTTATAAGAAGAATTAAATTATGCATCAGCACTAATCTACTTCTGTTCTGTCCCTCTAGCTCTCAAAAGGATCGATATGCATGTTAATTACAAATCAGGACCCTTACTAGCAGTAGATCCAGACTCGGGCTTGGTAATGTACTGGAGGGCCCATGGACTACCCCTGAGGACAGGCAAAACAATGGTATCAGACATGCACTACGAATCAACGCATATAAGTGGGATTGGTGGTGGACCTAACACTATCATAGTTATGACCCTCTGGGCCCACTTCACCACCTACCCAGTTAATGTCTATTGGGAAAGGTTGTGTCGAGTCCGTAAAGCTGTTGCCTCTCTACTTCTCCGTAGCCCTCAGACCACAGTGCTCATCAAGTCTGCAAACACAGGTTACAAATCAATATATGGTAGTGACTGGTTGTCTCTCCAGCTGGATATTTTAATGAGAGATGCCTTCAAAGGAATGGCTGTCACTGTGTTGGATGCCTGGGGCATGACTTCTTGTCATTACCTACCTGATCGCATTCATCCTGGGCTACCCATCATCAAGAACGAGGTTGATCTCTTGTTATCTTATATTTGTCCCCAGTGAAGCAGAAAGGAATAACATTGCCTTGCTGAAAAGAAACCAACTATTTGCTACACTTCTGGATTGACTTCTTCTTTGTATGCACTTTAGGAAAATGGTATGAATATGAAACATATACATCGAACATGGCTTTAAAAATACAAATGTCCCTAGACATAGTGTCTTGTGGCAGAGCTAATACTTAGAATCTAAAAGGTGTTGGAAGAACCCCTTTCATTTAGAGAGTGAACATATCTGAAGTAGTTCATCTTCTCACTAGAGATAACCAGATTACCGGTGTAGGAATGCAATTATGTAATATTTTAAATTTCGCACCCTCAAGAACAATGGGGGAGGTTTATTGAAGGGTTCTAAAAATTATGCAAAATGCTAAAACAGAAGCAGTCACCAGGGAAACCAGTGGAACCATCAGACACATTCAATGGGTGTCTTCTCCTCTTTTATATCTTCGTCCTGCTTTTCAGAACACAGCACTTTCGTAAATCTCTCCCAAAATCTCAAACGGACACATATGTAAAAAAAATACAATTTGATTAATAGTAATTAGTAACACTTTAATTTGCAACATATGCAATCCTTTAAATAATGACTCTAAAATGACCAACATAAAATTAATTAAATCTTGATGCAACAGCATTAAAACATGCATCATTGTACCATCACACTTTACTAATGTTCATCACTGATGTAAAGTAAACTCTGCCATGTTTTATACACATGTAAAAAAGATCGCAAAATACCAAGTGCTCTGACAATCATCTCGTACCAGTTCTTAGACATGTAATGGAGGATCCCAATTTCATGAACGTGGACTATATTTATTTTATACATTTGTCTTATAAATATGTATAACTATACGTATGTTTTTATATAATTTGTATAAATTTAATAAATGCATAATAACATTTTTTATTATAATATATTATAATGATAAGCATTTTTTTATCTGAATCAGATTTCCAAAACTCTCCCTTTGCTGAATTCTTTCCAAAAAAGATAAGAATGGAAATATTTCACATTGCCTGTCTTTGTAATATCTGATAGCAATGTTCCTAAAATGTATTACTTCACCCAGAGTTTTAATGAATTAAATCTATTCATATTTATTTTTCTGTGTTAAACAAATAGGCTTCAATTTTCAAAAAATAAAAAATAAAACACTGCAAGTAAATCATTATTAAAATAATTAATTAAGTCATTATATATATTATAAAGTAGTACCTATCCATAAAAGTGGTGACAATACTTTGGTATCTATCGCCCAATATCATTGCACCCAGTATTGTCAAAAATATTGGAAAAACGCATCCACACGCAACTATGTAAATATTATCAGCATTTAAATTATCTGACCCCTGATCAATCAGTTTTTCGTCCAAATCACCCAACTTCGACTGCCCTCCTAAAAGTTTGCAATGACATCCAAATTGGTATGGAACAAGGAGACTTAACTGGAGCCATTTTCCTTGATTTTGCCAAGGCCTTTTGACACCGTAGACCATGGCATTCTTTTGCAAAAATGTAAAAACTCAGGCATTAGTGATTGTCCACTAACCTGGTTTCGATCATATGTTTAAGACCGATTGCAATATATGACCATTTCTGATAGTGCCTCCCTCCCTCTTCTGTTCTGTCCCTCTAGCTCTCAAAAGGATCGATATGCATGTTAATTACAAATCAGGACCCTTACTAGCAGTAGATCCAGACTCGGGCTTGGTAATGTACTGGAGGGCCCATGGACTACCCCTGAGGACAGGCAAAACAATGGTATCAGACATGCACTACGAATCAACGCATATAAGTGGGATTGGTGGTGGACCTAACACTATCATAGTTATGACCCTCTGGGCCCACTTCACCACCTACCCAGTTAATGTCTATTGGGAAAGGTTGTGTCGAGTCCGTAAAGCTGTTGCCTCTCTACTTCTCCGTAGCCCTCAGACCACAGTGCTCATCAAGTCTGCAAACACAGGTTACAAATCAATATATGGTAGTGACTGGTTGTCTCTCCAGCTGGATATTTTAATGAGAGATGCCTTCAAAGGAATGGCTGTCACTGTGTTGGATGCCTGGGGCATGACTTCTTGTCATTACCTACCTGATCGCATTCATCCTGGGCTACCCATCATCAAGAACGAGGTTGATCTCTTGTTATCTTATATTTGTCCCCAGTGAAGCAGAAAGGAATAACATTGCCTTGCTGAAAAGAAACCAACTATTTGCTACACTTCTGGATTGACTTCTTCTTTGTATGCACTTTAGGAAAATGGTATGAATATGAAACATATACATCGAACATGGCTTTAAAAATACAAATGTCCCTAGACATAGTGTCTTGTGGCAGAGCTAATACTTAGAATCTAAAAGGTGTTGGAAGAACCCCTTTCATTTAGAGAGTGAACATATCTGAAGTAGTTCATCTTCTCACTAGAGATAACCAGATTACCGGTGTAGGAATGCAATTATGTAATATTTTAAATTTCGCACCCTCAAGAACAATGGGGGAGGTTTATTGAAGGGTTCTAAAAATTATGCAAAATGCTAAAACAGAAGCAGTCACCAGGGAAACCAGTGGAACCATCAGACACATTCAATGGGTGTCTTCTCCTCTTTTATATCTTCGTCCTGCTTTTCAGAACACAGCACTTTCGTAAATCTCTCCCAAAATCTCAAACGGACACATATGTAAAAAAAATACAATTTGATTAATAGTAATTAGTAACACTTTAATTTGCAACATATGCAATCCTTTAAATAATGACTCTAAAATGACCAACATAAAATTAATTAAATCTTGATGCAACAGCATTAAAACATGCATCATTGTACCATCACACTTTACTAATGTTCATCACTGATGTAAAGTAAACTCTGCCATGTTTTATACACATGTAAAAAAGATCGCAAAATACCAAGTGCTCTGACAATCATCTCGTACCAGTTCTTAGACATGTAATGGAGGATCCCAATTTCATGAACGTGGACTATATTTATTTTATACATTTGTCTTATAAATATGTATAACTATACGTATGTTTTTATATAATTTGTATAAATTTAATAAATGCATAATAACATTTTTTATTATAATATATTATAATGATAAGCATTTTTTTATCTGAATCAGATTTCCAAAACTCTCCCTTTGCTGAATTCTTTCCAAAAAAGATAAGAATGGAAATATTTCACATTGCCTGTCTTTGTAATATCTGATAGCAATGTTCCTAAAATGTATTACTTCACCCAGAGTTTTAATGAATTAAATCTATGCATATTTATTTTTATGTGTTAAACAAATAGGCTTCAATTTTCAAAAAATAAAAAATAAAACACTGCAAGTAAATCATTATTAAAATAATTAATTAAGTCATTATATATATTATAAAGTAGTACCTATCCATAAAAGTGGTGACAATACTTTGGTATCTATCGCCCAATATCATTGCACCCAGTATTGTCAAAAATATTGGAAAAACGCGTCCACACGCAACTATGTAAATATTATCAACATTTAAATTATCTGACCCCTGATCAATCAGTTTTTCGTCCAAATCACCCAACTTCGACTGCCCTCCTAAAAGTTTGCAATGACATCCAAATTGGTATGGAACAAGGAGACTTAACTGGAGCCATTTTCCTTGATTTTGCCAAGGCCTTTTGACACCGTAGACCATGGCATTCTTTTGCAAAAATGTAAAAACTCAGGCATTAGTGATTGTCCACTAACCTGGTTTCGATCATATGTTTAAGACCGATTGCAATATATGACCATTTCTGATAGTGCCTCCCTCCCTCTTCCAGTCATGTGTGGTGTTCCCTAAGGCTTCATACTCAGCCCCCTGCTATTTACATTATTTATAAATTATCTGACTAATGTCTGCAAATCCTCAACTGTACACAAGTATGCAGATGATACTGTAATCTACGCTAGTAAACCCGATCTACCGCAGTTTGAGGCTGTGCTCCAAAACCAATTCACAGAGGTAGAAAAGTGGATAGCAGATAACAAACTCTTCCTGAACACTGAGAAAACAGTTACAATAATCTTTGGAACTGTACCTAAATTACATTAACTACAAAATCAACAACTGTGTATCAGAACAAATTCAAATAGCACACTGACAGCAGTCTGTTCTTTTACATATCTAGGTATGTTGCTAGACCCCAATCTATCACATTGAAAAAATCTCTTCAGAACTTTACCCATAACTAGGTGCCCAGTACAGAAAATCCGGTCTAAGGCCTACAGTAAGGAAACAGATGCATCAAATGCTAATGCCGGTCATTGACTATGGGGATGTAATTTGTGCACCTGCATCACAAATCCACCTTAATAAACATAATACATTATATAATTCATTCTGCTGCTTTGTACTAGAATGCAATTACTTTACCCACTGTTGAGACATGTTAAAAGAGCGAAGCTGGCTGTCGCTAGAATCCCAACTCACTCTTCATCTTTCCAGCCTTGTGCAAAAGAGCTTTTCTGGGAAGCTCCCACCCTAACTGAGTAGAAGGCTCTCCCCAGCTGTTCCTATAACCTCCGATCCAGTACTAGCACGATATTTAGCATACCGCAATACAAAAATAAATTGTCTCAATCCTCATTTTTCTACAGAGCATCGCAACTATGGAATAACCTCAGGGACACAGCTAAATCTTCATCAATTCTAAAATCTTTTAAGAAATCTATGGTGATATACCTAAGCATAGAATGCACCTGTCATGGTTTAATATATTTATCACCTGTTATATGTTACATTTATATATGAGTGTATATATATATATATATTGTTTGTATATTGTATTTTTTTTTAATATTGTATACTATTGTAACAATGCAATGTTTGTGGACCCAGGAGATACTTGAAAACGGTCCTGGTAAAATATTTTATAAATAAAATTGTTTATCGATTTGCAAGAATTAATAATAAATATGGAGTCATACCCCTATCTTCACTTTTATATTTTATCAAGCTTAAGCTTATAACCTCGCAAACCGAAGCACAGGTGGGGTTTTATAAAGAACAAACAAAAAAATGTAAACCCCGAAAATAATAAATACTCAAACACCAGTAAAATTAAAACACAATATGGAAAAACGTGCGTACCTGGTGTTATATATACCCTCTCTCTCTACCTACGATACCAGGGCCGGACTGGGAAAAAAATTAGGCCCGGGCATTTTTCAATTAGAGCGGCCCCCCAAAAAGGGGGCGGGGCCAGAGAAAGTGAGCATGTTGGTTCAATGCGCAGAGCCCCACTGAAGAGCTCTAGCATTAGAAAAAGGCCCTGTATGTGTTCTGCGCAGCGCAAGCAAATGTAATAACATGCTTGCGCTGTGTTTGCTTTTAAATTGTCTCTGGTGTCTCCACAAGTGGGATACCAGAGGACAAAAGGGCCAGGAAAGTGTATGGTGCATGTGTTTGGCGCATGCTTGTGGGATTGCCTGTGTGTAGAGTGTGGTGTGGTATTGTGTAAATAGGTCAATTTTGTGGTATAATATGTGTGGCTAGGGGCTGTAGAGAGTGCGTGTATAGGGGCATAGTGTTATAGGGGATGTAGCGAGTGTGTGCATACGGGCAGTAGTGTGTGTGTATAGGTGACGTAGTGTGTGTCACTTATACACACACACTACTATGTGTAGAGAGGGTGTGTTTAGAGAATGTTGTATGTGTTTGCTTACAAGGAATGTAGTGTGTGTGTAGGTGGTGCAGTGTGTGTGTGTAAGAGATCTAGTGTGTAAAGGACCCAGAGTGTGTATAGAAGATTGTGTGTGTGTGTGTGTGTAGAGGATTAAGAGTGCATATAGGGTAAGGGATCTAGCGTGTATCTGGAGCGTAATGTGTGTAGTGGTGCAGTGTGAGGGGTGCTGTAGTGTGTGTGTGTATATATATATATAGCAAAAAAAACAGGATGCTTGGCACTCTCCTTTAAGTAATAAGAAAGAACTAATAGCCTTGGTGCTATATCCCAAACGTCAGAAATATACAAAAATCAAAACTGAGAATGCACTCACAGGACTTGGTTAAAGTGAAAAAAAGGGACTTTTAATTATTCCATGTGAATGGAAAATTGATTTTTCTGTACATTTCACATGGAATAATTAAAAGTCCCTTTTTTTCACTTTAAGCAAGTCCTGTGAGTGCATCCCCAGTTTTGATTTGTGTGTGTGTGTGTGTATATATATATATATATATATATATATATATATATATATATATATATATATATATATATATATATATATATATATATATAAATAAAATATAAATAAAATATATTTGGACGTATTGTATGTGTGAGGTGCGCAGCGTGTTTGTGTAAGAGGGGTGCTGTGTGTGAGGGTGTTTTTATCTGCCGTCACATTCTGGGTTTCTAATTTTATTTGTCTGTTAACTCACTGAGGGTTATTTTATATAATATATGTGCTGTATATGTGTGGGAGTGAGGGTGCTGTCTGTCTGAGGGTGTTGTGTGTGTCTGGGGGTGCGCTGTGTGTGTCTGTGAGGTGCTGTGTGTGTATGGATGCTGTGTGTGTCTGGGGGGTGCTGTGTGTGTCTGGGGGGTGCTGTGTGTGTCTGGGGGGTGCTGTGTCTGGGGGCTGTGTCTGGATGTGCTGTGTGTGTCTGGGGGTTGCTGTGTCTGGGGGCTGTGTCTGGGGGTGCTGTGTGTGTCTGGGGGCTGTGTGTGTCTGGGGGTGCTGTGTGTGTCTGGGGGCTGTGTGCTGTGTGTGTCTGGGGGGGCTGTTAGGGAAATTATTTTAAAAATATATTTTTTATTTTATTAATAATTATAATATTATTATAATTAATAATAAAAAAAAAGTTATGTTTCCCCCCCCTCCCTTCTTACCTTTAGCCTGGGAGGGGGGGGAGCCGTTCTGCCTGGGAGGGGGAGTCTTGAAGGGACCATACTGCCTTCCCTGGTGGTCCAGTGGTGAGAGTGAACTCTAACCTGCGGGTTAGAGTTCACTCTCGCGAGATCTGAGCGTTGCCGTGGTAACCGCGGCAACGCTCAGAATCCCGCGAGAGGACTCGGCGGAGCTGCTGGTTAGAGCTCCGCCGGGTCCTCTCTCCTCCCTCCCTCTCTCCCCAGCCGGCGGCCCCCTTTTTCCTGTCTGTGGGCCGGTGAGGGAGATCTGTGATCTCCCCACCGGCCCAGCGCTGGCCCTGCAGGGGCCGGCCGGGGAGATCCCTGCCGGCCTCGGCCCCACGGCCATCGCGGCCCACCGGGCATTTGCCCGGTGTGCCCGATGGCCAGTCCGGGCCTGTACGATACCATGACCCCTAGCATGTGTTCAATGCATATAAGTAAGCTCTACTGACCAGCCTCTTGCTATCTGATATTTGTTATAGTTTTAGAGTGCTAGACATTCATCTTGACTTACTTTTTTCTAATGATACCACTTACCATGTCTTTGATCTTGATTTTTACCATGCACAACAAAAATAAAGAATTTAATAAAATGTCTTCCCTTTCTAAAAATCACCGTAGGACGGGGGGAGGTGGAGGGGTATAATTTTCCCTTTATAGATTACTTTTATATCATTATTTTAATTGTTGAAATCTCTTACATCTTTTACTGGGTTCCTTTACCCGTAAACACTTTTGAAAGGGATTAAAGAGAACTCTGGATAGCTGGTAACAAGACCACAACAATATTCCATAGTCACCATTAGGTTCCCAGATTCTCGAACAGACATTCCACCTCTTTTACATTGCCAATGGAAGATGGGGTTCCCCATAATAGGGGTCATTAAGAAATTACGAATTGATAAGCCATCCCTATAGGCACATCTACACAAAAGGTCATAAATATGCTCTGTACTTAGCAAAATATTCTTACGCAAGTCTAACCAAAGCTGTGTTGATATTCATCAGAGAGAACAAAGTGACTTTTCAATATCAACCCAGCAAATTATTATTATTAATTGGTAGTTATATAGCGCCAACATATTACACTGTGCTGTACACTAGCAGGAATACAGACAAATAATGAGCATGTAGTAATAGTAAGAATACAATCTTGCAACTACAGTACTTTTTGAACAAAGTGCCAGGTGACTTGTGAGTTTGCACTCTGAAGTTATAATGGGGAGTTGAGACATGAGTTGCAGTGTTGTTTGAAGTTAATGGCCTGAGAAGTGTAAGTACTGTAAAGCTTAAGGTATTTAAATAGTTAAGATGAGGGAACATTCTATAAAGAAAAGAGGATGGGCCACAGTGAGTGGGCGGTTGGTTTAGTGGTTGCAACAGTTTTTAAAAGGGTTGTTTTAATAAAGGAATGTAATGATAGTTCAGGATCTACAAACATGTCTTTTTTATGAATTGAGGGGAAATGAGTAGATGGGAGAAATAAGATGTAGCATTTGATGTGATGGTTAAACACTGTATAATGTATATGATTGCATTATATAACAACATTAGTTACAAACTATAAAGACATTAAAGGAATACATACACACACACATATATATATATATATACATATACACACACACACACACAGAAGGCTTGGCCTGTATGTAATTGTGGGAGGTACATGGAATCCTACTTAAACCTAGTGAGCCCCTGCTTCCCTGTCGTCAACTATCTAGGAAGTGATTCTGTTTACTTCCAGTTCACTGGACCCTGACGTCATTTTCCCGCCCGCCGGCAGTCCGTTTGCAAAAAACTTTTTCTGCTTACTGAGTTCGTGACTATACAAGGGAAGCCAGCATAAGTTATACTCTATCATTTCGTTTGCACCCCATACTTGTCATCAAACTCACATGTTCGTTTAAAATATTTCATTCGGCTAAATTGCTCATGTTAATCTCTTATCCACATACCGCTACAATTCGTGCTAGCCGGCGTTCGTCCTGAGTTATCCATGCCCATAAACCCTTATGTTTACCCATCAGTATACACATAGCAGCCGTTCGTGTCAAACACACTTTCGTACAAACTTCCCTTCATTCGTATAAACTGCCGCTTGTTTCAGTGTGAACTTTCATTTGCTCTGTTCGTTTAGACTATCGGTTCGTTTCATGCACACTTTCGTTTATTTTCCACGCTGTCAACTCACTCATACCTAGCAGTACAATTCAATTTCAGGTACTATAGCATCATGAAAGCATTTTACATTCAAATTTAAATGGCATTCCATGTTAAATTTGGTTTAGTTTAACAAATTCATTAAAACGTCCTTTTTATTTTATTTCTTGTCTATGTTAAAACATACAACAGCAACTCTGTTTGTTACTTTCATATGGGAGTTATAAACTGTCTTTTATTTTAACTTGCTGGCGTTGCAGTAGAAGTTAAACTCGGGTTGATACAGCGCTGGTAAAGCTTTTCATTCAATTTAAACCGCTTTCAATGTCAAAGCATTTATTATGTCACTCTTTAAAAACGTCCTTGTTTTTCTACTCTCTAAAATATACGAAATCAGTATGTGCTAACGGCAGTTAAGGTATAATTTTATTAAAGTATTGCTCCTCAAAGCATTGCTAATGTGTTTTATAAATATATAAGTATGCTAATCAGGGTAAGAGTGTCCTTAGATTCTGTCTTGTGCATTGCTAATTGGCGTTTCGGTTGACTTTCGTATGCATTATCCGTTCGCATAAAACGCTTATGTTTTTCCATTAGTATACACAGTCACACTTTCGCACAAACTTTTGTTTATTTGCATAAACTGCCTCATACCTAGCAGTTCAAGTTCATTCCGTTTATACAGCATTGTGAAACCATTTTTTTTTTCC